GAACGTAACGTTTCGCGAGCGTCGTTTTGCCTCTAACGACCTGCGTTTCAATATCTGATTCATGTAGAAGTACTTGGCTAGTCGATTGACGTAGAGTGAAACAAGGAGAACTGGGTAATAAATAAACGGAGAAATGAATAATGAGGCAACATGTGACGGAGGCAAAAGGAAGCAAAAGGAAACGGTAATACGAAGGAGAAGAAGATAGAAATAGAAAGAAAAAGAGAAATTACTGAAATGAAATTTGAAGGAAGGAAAGATAACATTGGAAGAAGAGAAAAATTGAAGAAATTTAAAAAAATGAAGCAGTAAGAGGGATAAAAGTATCAGAACAAAGATGGTAGGTACGTGAAGAAAAAAAAAAATGTAGGATAATTAAATAAAGTGTCTCTAAAGGGGGATAACGAAGAAAATAGTCCCAGAAAGAATGGGACATGCACGTAAGAAAGGAAACCGGGAAAATAGTGTGAGGGGAGAGAAAAGCCAGCGAAAAAAAGGCACAGAAGGACGAAGAACAATGAAACAGAGTGCCGTGGGAGGGAGAAGAAAGCGGAACAGCGATTGACATCGGCAGATATGCCAGAAACGGTATGCGCGGCCACGTCATGAAGATAATTGGGACGTGTGCCAAAGCGTGGTCCCTCGAAAGGACACGTGCAGAGGCGATTGGAAGATCTGCGAGGATTGGACGCGGCAATACGGTCAATTTTTTATCCAGGAAAGGCTTTAACCAGTTATACGAGAAATTACGTAAAGAGGGCACCCGCGTGTATTACGACAAAGTGCACAGGTCTTGTACATAATATGCAGGCGACTTGCAAGTTTCACTTTTGCATGCATTCCACGTTGCATAATGTTAGTTACACGCTTGCGTCACTTTATTTATTTATTTACGGGTACAAATTCGTTACTGTATATGTAATAATATATGTGTTAAAAATTGAGGAGAGAAAAATGGGAAAATATGTTACAAGTAGAAAAGAGAAAAAAGTAGGAGAAGTAAAGGGGAAGCTTTGTTCAACGTGGAATCGGAGGAAATTGTAAGTAAAAATGTACGAGTTCGATATTTCTGTGCTTGTGAATTTCGATCAAAAGAGAGGTCTAGAGAGTGAACAGCTGCAAATATTGGTCTTCAGTTGCGCAACGTGATCTGAGTACGGTGCTGATTCGACTGCACCTGGATCGTGGTAATTAAAATCCAATTGACGACGCTCGACCTCCTTCGGTCATCTTTTTCTTTATTTATTTACGCGTGCAAACTCAATATCGTACATAGTAAAAACAGAAATAAAGAGAAGGAGAAACAGGCAAAAAGCATATAACAAGACTTTACGAACGAACATTCACAGTGTGTGTTTTAAGTATGCGTTTAAGTTGATATACCCGACGGTTGTTAATTAGGTTAGGTTAGGTAGGTAAAAATGAGGGAAGTGAAGGAGTGCAGAGGTGGTTAGCGGGTCAATAGTCGATCAGAATCGAAAAGAATGCGGCCAGCATGTGGTTTAACCTTAGCAGCCAGATGGATAACGTATCGAATTCAATTCGAAAAGATCGATACGTATTAGAATACGTTTGTACAATTATGTTTGAACGAAGATCCCTTGGATCTGTGTCTGTATAATTCTGATCTAATCTAATAGAATCGAAAGGTATTGAATACTAGCTATTCGAATCGAAGGTTTTCGAATTGAAAAGATTCGAAGTAAGGCGACCGAAATCCAAAGTTGCTGAAATTGAAGTATCGAACTCGAAATATATCGAAACTCGAAATATATCGAAACTCGAAATATATCGAAACTCGAAATATATCGAAACTCGAAATATATCGAAACTCGAAATATATCGAAACTCGAAATATATCGAAACTCGAAATATATCGAAACTCGAAATATATCGAAACTCGAAATATATCGAAACTCGAAATATATCGAAACTCGAAATATATCGAAACTCGAAATATATCGAAACTCGAAATATATCGAAACTCGAAATATATCGAAACTCGAAATATATCAATTCGAAATATGTCGAATTGAAATTTACCGATATTTACATTACCCGCCATTGTCGACTGACCGAAGAGGTAATTCACAGCTGGGTTTCAGCTACATAAGAAAGAAATTGCAAACACCGACAAACCAACAGCAGACAAAACAAAACCCAACCGACAGAGAAAGAGAAGATAATAATCGCATGCAAATAAGCTTTCCGTGGCAGCATTGCTGCACGTGGATAAACTACCGATGCAAAAACGCCTGAAGGAGTAACGCTTATTTATTCCATCTTCGGTATTTTCCCAGTTTGCGCTCCGACGCACGTAATCGCGCATCGACTCGATTATCTCTCTCTTAATACACTTTCCACTTCCCAGCAACCTTTTACCACTCGAAAAACCCGCAATATAGTCGAGAAAATAAATTATAAATTTCACGCAATGTCCTTTTACGCACATTAAAAGAACAAAAACCTGCTCTCGACGAGATAAGAACCGAAAAGGAAAGAAGATAAAACATCGGGAAGAGAACAAGGTTGATTCAGAAGAGAGGTGTGTAATCTTGTTAGTTTTCATTAATATTCAATCTAGACGCGCACACAAGGAAACAGAACAGTATGCAAACTAACGTCAAGGACACGATACGTTACATGTGTTCCTGCCTTTACGGTGGATGCCGATCGCCGAAAACCCATCGATATTCCTCTCACGTTACAAGGCACACGTACACAGTCAGTTGTAACGTGCCCGATACGACTAAACGTTCTCCCTCATCTTTTGTCCGCCCTGTTAGGGATACTTCCACTTCGATTCTCCCACCTTTGGGAATTTATCCCGTAATGGTTTCTCGAGCACAGACGCCGCTGCATATGTATATAGAATTATATATCAAAAGTGAAAACTCGAGAAGAAAGTGTTTCGTGTAGTAAATTGCGTTCAGTTTCAGTCTGAGAGAATTGTAAAGAATTCTGGCGATAGTCGAATCAATATTATATCTCCTTTTCGTTATGAGGGTAACCTAATAAAATTCAAGGATTCCAGAGAGATTATTTTGCAGAAAATCTCACATGCCCCATAAATGAAAGATTAGAATGTATAATAGTGGCGTAAGGATATACTCAACAATGGCTGCATTTAGAAACGAAGAAATCCCTGCTAATCTCAGGTCGAGTTTCAACTATACACAAGGCCAACGCGAATCCCTTCAGTATTACCAACGACCTAAAGATTCAGTCGAGGACTGGGTGAAAGGACCGGAAATAGGCCCATCTATCCCCACCTTTTTTACTGTAATCGTGCAATGGTCGACCATCGTGATAGAAACATTTCCTCGATCACGTTCACTTACGTTAACGGAAAGGCAACGTTTAATACTGATAGCGACAACATTGACGCAACTCTTGGTGCAGATTAATTATTTAAATAAAATAGTTTATATGATTCATAATTTTAAATCGTTATTTTTGTATCACTACTTCGAATAAAATTTGCACAAGTCTAATTGGTGTAATCGTGGATGATCGATGATAATGACGGACAAAAAAAATGTTGTTGTGAATTTGTTTTGAATCAGATTTGTGTAAAAGATTTCTGATAAAACAGAAACAAACAGACGAAGAGTATTTAACGAGCTCAAGTGTAATGAAGTATTGAATTTCAATGGGCTGTTCGATCTTCATTTCGTGTATAAAATGCCAGATTAATTTTCGATTGAATCGAAGGTCTAAATTGGTTTCGATAATAACAACACTATGTTCCGATAGAGATAACATTAAAACGCACCACTTTTTATGGACGATTTTCGTAAACACAGGAAATATGACGTTTTTGTAAAACACACGAGTCGAACGATTCCGTCACGAAACCGTGTGATTTACTACCATCTTCGTAGCATTCTTTACGAATAATCGTAAAAATCGACGTCAGTCGTTCTGTTCACTTTACAATCAACGAATAACGAAATAAAAGCAATCGTACGTGATTCCCTCAGAAACTTGTCACGAAGCATAAAAGTAAGCAAAGTGTTCTTTGGGAATTGGAACATGAGAAGGAGACTGGATACATTATATAGAAAGTAAAGGAAATATCGAAGGACACCATTAGAACATTTTCGATAATGGCAATTTAATGGCGAGGCACTCGAAACATTACTGATACACGCTTGAAGGTTAAATTGACTATCAAATATTCGATATTCGAGCATCGAGATAAACGACAGTCCAAGGATATCGAGAAATATTGACAAACTTTCCAGAATAAATATTTAAATCCTTTAAATGAATACCTTTCTAAATCCTACAGAAGAAAATAATTACTACGGTAGATATCTTTTCTATCAGCCCTTGAAGTTGCGTCACTTTTCCATTGTTATTAACCACGTTATCTGCCCACTCAACTATCGTAAAGAATAATCATAACACTACACATAAACAAAGACATATGACTGTTAAAATTGAAAGTCACTCTAACGATATCAATAATCCTAATAGTATATACGGCTACATAACCCTACACTGCCCATGCACTTGCGAAGCAACCCTAACCAGAACCAATTAACAAGTGTACGAGACGTCTTCCGTCGTTCCATTTTTCGCACGTATACGATCCACCCCAGTGAATCGGAGACCTTGTCTGGTTCACAGTGCCGCACTCTCTGGCGCAAACATCAACATAGAGGTATAACCCCTTCACGGTCTACTGTACGAGTGGGCAAGGCGTCAAGTGCTACACTATGTCGTCCAACAGGCGTCATAAAATTATTCAACTGTACTACCCATTAACTACTCGTGTTAACTATCGCGAATGCGAATAATTGAAGTGACAGAAAAGATACGCGTTTTTTAAATTATTACTAATTCTGTCACTTTACTGTACTATCAAGAATTCAAGTGAAATCGAAAAGATGGTTCTAACGCGTCTAATGACCCTTTGTCTCGAGAAACGCGGAACAACGATTGATCCTCCCGTATCTCAATCGACGCCTCTGTACTAAGACGAGCATACTTACTGTACGGTGGTTTCTCTGTTTCCCAGATCAGCGTGCCACGATGAAAGTAGACCCTGCACCGTTTCTTCTTCACCACGAACGTGTTCAAGAGCACCGTCCTGGAGGACTGGTCTGTGATTTCCTGCATCATCCTGACACAGTTGGTTAAACTCCACGGGACAGTTGATTCAACGAGGAGACGGCCAAAACGTCATCTCGACGCCGATCGATTCGTGGTGAGCGAGAAAATCGCCACAGAGATCGGAAACAATACTTTGGAAACGAGAGAGGACAACAGTACACGACGACAAAGCCCGCTCGTTCGCTCGAGCACGACTGCGGTGTACGATCGACTGACAGACGTTCGTGCCGAAACGTACGAGTTCGGCTTTCACAGCGCCTCCAGACTGATATTCTTTCAACTATGAAAAAGGGAACTCACTCGGTCGTCGGACTCCGTTTCCTCCCCGCCCGATCGATTGGAAATGGTTTTTAATAAATAAAAATAGAAGAATTATAAAGATAAAAAGTAATTATTTTATGGTTGGAATAATTATAGTGGAGATTGAAATAATTGAATAAAAATATATGAATCGATAAATTAGTTGATGAAGAATGAAATCGTTCTGGTGGGGTAATTTGCAAAATGCGATTTTATCGACCGATTTATTTTCAATGACCGCCATCTATTGAATGGTTGTAATTATCGCGTAAGGGTAACACGGATACCTGAATAACTGAAAATGTGTCTCAGCATGTTAAAAATATCCTTGCATGGGTATACATCCGTGTATCTGATTTAAACAAATTTCATTCGTTTATTTAAAATAACTTGACAATTAATTTTTCCATGTATAGATAATATAAAGTACTTCACTTATATTGTTATATAATTAAGATCATATGAACAATATCCGTAAAGAATTTATAATAGTGAACGTTTGCGCAGGGCACAAAACTGCTTGTTTCACCCCTGGTTGCAACAGACGCGAGACGACATGACGCTTTGTCGGTGACGTGACAATTTTGTGCTATTGAACTGCTTCTCCGATCGAGTATTCTTTCACACATTGCATCGCTATGTCTCAACTATTGTCCAACGTCAAAACACTCTGCAAACCAATCCGAAAGTAGAAAAGGTGACATGTAAAAGTGACAGAAATTGTTAAAGCGTCGTAAACTCGCGTGTCCACGAAGTCTGGCTGACGCAGACATCGCGATGTAGACATAAATTATTACGAATTCAAAGTCGTGTTACTATAACGTTCAAATAAAAATAAAATACATATATGTATTCATTTATTGAAACACAACATGGATGAAACAAAAAACTACAAAAACTTAGTATTAACGGTTAAAAAATACCCTGCACTATACGATCTCAGTTGCAACAACTACCACAACAGAGTTGTACGAAATAAAATATGGAAAGCAGTGGCGCAAGAACTGAGCGCTTCCGGTAAGAATGCTTCAAAGTCTAAACACACTTGAATTCCCGTAAAAAGTCCGACGTGGCTTTTTAATTCGTGCACGATTTCCGCATAGCCGCAGAATGCAAGGAGAAATGGAAGAATCTACGCGCCAGTTTCACCAGACACTTGAGAAATCAAAACACGGTGAATTCGAAATCGAAGAAACGATATTACATGGCCGATTACATGGATTTCCTCCTTCCCTACAGCAAATTTCGCAGGTAAGTGATCTACTGATCGAAAATCGATAACGGATCACGTGAACGGTTGTGTTACTTTCTTTGTTTCGCTTGCCTATGATTTCAGGCCGGATGACAGTTTGAACGAAGAAAGAGCAATAGCGGGAGAGATTTGGAACGATGAGACCGCCTCGGACACGTCCTCTAATTACAAGAAATTAAACAAATCAGAACAGAAGATGCTAGAGCCAGACAGAGATAATGATACAAGAAACGAAGAGCATGCATTCTCTCAAAGCAAACCGATCAAACTCGAAGACAGCTTGCAGACGCACAGTTGCTTGGATAATTGTATCCTCACGAGTAGACAAGATCACGACGAATCAGTCAACGATGCTGACTTGTTGTTCTTTAAAAGTTTGTTACCAGACGTGCGACAAATGACTAGACAAGAGAAGAGAAACTTCAAGATATCCGTCTTGGATCTGATTAATAAAATATTGGATGAGAAAGAATCGTCAATGCCCGTGGTGAATGACAATTTCTGTTCTATGATACAAAATCAAGACGATGAAAAAGTAGATTAGTTTCTAATTTCAATAAATGTAGAATATTACAAAATGAATAAATTATGTTTAATAAAAAACGAATATTCAGGGTGAAATATTCAGAGCATGTTATGCCAATTTGCGCGGGAATCCTGTTCGATATCGTACATTCCAGAATAGTTCTTAATTTATTATATTATTAGTATTACGTAGATTCTCGTTAAAACTTGACAAAATAATACGTATGCAAGTACTTTCAAAGCTAAACATAGAAAAACTTTATTTTAACTAGGCACTTGAATAGTGGTAACATGTCAGACACGAGATATGGCGGAACGCATACTATTTCACGACCGGATAACAGAAACGCATCGTTTCCCTCCGATCTCCCCCACCACCTGCATTTATTTTCGTTGCTTGGTAAGTTCGTAAAAGAAACAGAATAAAAATGAACAAAAAAGAAGTTCGCATGGTTAAGATATTGTCTTGACCTGGTTGAGAACTACTGACGGACGTTGATTGGTGGCTCGAAACAACGCGCATCTTCGAGCCAACGGAAGGAACTAATGAAAATTGAATATACATTACGCCAAAAATTTCGGCGATTTCCGGACGGTCGCCCGAAAGCAACCGAATCACGTATTCGAGCATTCCATCCATCCACACACGCATGCACACACTCACTTAAAGCTTATTACACAACTGTGCATATGCGCGCGCGTGCATAGTGCTTTGATAGCAAATTGTCTTCACAGACTATACTTCGTACTACTGAGAGATCCTAAGAAAAAATCGCGAAGTTTAAGAATACGGATTAATGCGAGCAAAACGTCAATGCATATTTAATATGAAATGGAAGAACACTGCGTCTGTAATATTGGACTTCAACCCTTCTGAACATAGGTGCAATTTGCATAATTTTTATTCAAATAAAGAAGCGTTTGATATGTACATACTTGGTATTTTCATTTTTGCAAGGATGCACGTTTAAAAAAATAATAAATAAACTTAAAAATTTGTACATTTTTGGAGTCCCGCCACTGCTTCAACTGAGTACGAAAGAATTTTAAATCAGATTGTACCTTCATTGGCGTATATCTGAATTTTAGCTATCGAACATTTTCACCAAAAAAAATTTTTTTTCGAACTACCTCTATCAATATCAATCCATCCAATATAATTTCAAATAAAAAAATACATACATTTCGGTAGTATGAAATACCCAACTATTAATCGACGAATAAATTGACCATATTATAAATACGTATACTGACATATAAATTAAATCTGAAATTTTTACCAGAAGCATTTACCCATCACCAATTGCATATAAAACGAAATATTTGTAAGACGACAAACTTTTCTTTTAATTACCACGTATCATGATATAAATATCCGTAAAAACAATTTGCCGTTCGCGGCTCGAACTTATCGAGAGCAAAGCATATCACGTCACAATAGCACACTTGTCGCGTCCGTTCGTAGCATCGTAGAGCCCAGGAGCGCGGATGTGCAGAACGGGCGAAGTGTCGCAGTAGCGACATACCTGGTGGTCAAGTACGAACTGCGCAGCCGCTGGTTCGAAATGGCCAATCAGCACGATGCAGTGCCACGGAAGGGACACTGGGGGGGCTTTTGGTGGCCTTGCGCGTTCTTCCGATTCCGTGGAAGCTGGAGGCGCGTCCATTTTGTCAGCACGTACGATCCCGGGTAGTCGACGCCGGTGCAAAGTATAATTCTCGTTCGCGACGAGTTCGTGTTTGCGGTAGTAAGGCCTATACGAAGCCAGTGGCTGTCTGTCGGCGGCGGTCGTGAAATCGCGTGCGGACAGAGAGCGTGGTCGACGAGGGCGTGTGAGAACCTGCTTGTGGGTAGATATCACGCGAGTATCGAGAGAGGAGCCGTCGGAGGAGAGTCGTGTTGTTTGCAGGGGCCGCGAAAACGCGTCGCGTACCCGGCTAGTTTAGTTTTAGCAAGATGGCGGAACTACAGGGAACCCCGGTCGCCCAAGACGCCCTGTCCGTAGCCCAGTTAGAGCTCGGTGGAAATCCGAACGCCTTGGCTTTGCGTAGGCCATTCGACCCTGTGGCACATGATCTCGACGCGACCTTCCGCCTTACGCGGTTCGCCGATCTGAAAGGATGAGGGTGTAAAGTCCCTCAGGAGGTTCTCGGGAAACTCCTTGAGGGACTGCAGGCCGACGATGGTAGCGCACAAGATCATGAGCATGCCCATTTTATGCACATGGCCATTCCACGCATTGGTGAGTAAATTGCAATCTTATTGCGCGCATGGCGTGTACACGAGGAACTATAATTTACGCCGACATGTTTGATTTTATGCCGCCGCGTTTTGGCTTCGTCATTTTTCACGAATTCGTGGTTCTCATTCATTACATTGAAACAAATATTGAAATATTCTTATGATTGAAATAATGGTCTATCGATGTTTTGAAAATTGTTTTTATTTGAAGAGATACTGTTGGAAAGCCGATCGCTGGTTGTGGAAAATTTTGCCGGCTAAAATTTTCCATACTTGATCGCACGTGATATGATACGCAGATAATGTATCCAGCTTGTATAATGTAGTACGTGTGGGAATTTGCCACCTGTTGTGAGAATTTTCGGTACTAGTAAAGAATTGTCGGAAATACCTAAGGCGCAAATATCGTGTTAGACGGCCCTATCATACCAGCAGCCATGTTATCTCCTCCCGCCCGATTTCTCCCACGCCACCGGAAATATGAGTGTTCTCAACTTCTTAAACTCCAATCGTATGTACGGTATACGTAACACCGGTATCTTTACACATGCAAACAAATTGTTTGTCAACAACTTTGTATTAATTTAATTAAAACGTGTCTCCAAATTTCGAAATATTTTTTTTTATTTAAGTGAAAATAATTTTATATTCAAAATAATTAATTTTTTTTTTTTATTCCAGGCATTGGCATGGATTCCTCCGTGACTCCACTGAGGCATGGAGGGCTAAGCTTGGTGCAGACCACAGACTTCTTCTATCCATTAGTAGATGATCCTTACATGATGGGTAAGATAGACACCATGATGTTTCAATAAAATCATTGCACCTCATCAGTTTATTTTTTATTTCACATTCATATGATTCTATCAATTAAAGTAGTACTTACATTTTTTTTTATTAAGGATAAAATTTGTTGTTTAACATCTTGTTTGACCACTGCTATTGGAGTACTTTTCCAGGTAAAATTGCTTGTGCAAATGTTATCAGCGATCTGTATGCCATGGGTGTCACGGAGTGTGACAACATGTTGATGTTGCTGGGAGTCAGTACAAAAATGACTGAGAAGGAACGGGACGTTGTTGTACCTTTGATCATGAGAGGATTCAAAGATTCTGCCTTGGAAGCTGGTACAACAGTGACAGGAGGACAGACAGTTGTTAATCCTTGGTGTACAATAGGTGGTGTTGCTTCTACTGTTTGTCAACCAAATGAATACATTGTGTATGTACTTTGTAATACATCATGTATAATCTTGATTCCATTTCTCTGCTGACAATTACTGTTTACACTCAGGCCAGACAATGCAGTTGTTGGTGATGTTCTTGTACTGACAAAACCTCTTGGGACTCAAGTTGCAGTCAATGCCCATCAGTGGTTGGACCAACCAGACCGCTGGAACAGAATCAAACTTGTGGTTAGTGAAGATGATGTGAGAAAAGCTTATCAGAGAGCAATGGACAGTATGGCTAGGCTTAACAGAATAGGTATATATTGAAATGTACAGTCTAAAAAAAGTATAAGTTAAAAAATAACGATAAATTTTTTTACTTTACAGCGGCTAGATTAATGCATAAATACAATGCTCATGGCGCAACAGATGTCACGGGATTCGGCCTCTTAGGACACGCACAAAATCTAGCTAAACATCAGAAAAATGAAGTCTCCTTTGTTATTCATAATTTACCTGTTATCGCTAAAATGGCAGCTGTGGCAAAAGCATGCGGTAACATGTTTCAACTCCTTCAAGGACATTCGGCAGAAACCAGCGGAGGGTTGCTTATTTGCCTACCTAGAGAACAGGTTTGTAATCGTTTGTGTTTTCAACTTTTTGTCCCAATCCTGCTAATACAGTAGGGTGTATTATTCATCGTTATATACTCTAAAGAATTGCAGGAAGAGAAAATAGAGAATCCTATATCAATTTGCAGTTCACAGCATCTTGGTGCAGTCAACTTTCTTACAATTATCTCATTTTTTACATTACATGCTGACGGAATTGTTTATTATTTTATGTTAAATTCCTATGGCTTACAAATGAATTTCAGGCTGCAGCATATTGTAAGGACATCGAGAAACAGGAGGGATACCAAGCGTGGATTATTGGTATCGTAGAAAAGGGAAATCGCACAGCCAGAATAATTGATAAACCACGAGTAATAGAAGTGCCAGCTAAAGAAAAAGACGGAGAACTTTGGTAAAGAATCGAGGATGTTTCGTGAAACTTTTCATTTACCTTCATGTATGTAGGAGATACCACACGCAACACAGAAAAAAACACGCATTTACATAAGCTGGACACTTATCATACCAGATTCAGAGCACTTACATGTGCACCAATATTACGAAGGGCTAACGAATTCTTAAGTCTTTTCGCTATAGATAAACTATCGATAATATATTCATAGCAGTTTTGATTATATTTTTTTGTTCCATGGGTTAAAGAAAAAAAAGGAAAACCAGATATAACAGTAATGATTTATACTTATGTGTTATCTTTATTGAAGTTTAATCTCAAGTTTTTAGCTTAAGAAGGTAAACGTTTCTGTCTTCTTTCTTGTTTTGTTTATTTCAATCTTTGTCGAAAGCTGAAGGGATATCACAGTGAAAATGTTTGTAAAATCTTCTTAGTGCTCTTCCTGACAGCTATGAACGCTTATTCAGAACAATTCGATAAAGAGAAAAAAAAAAAGGAAACATGGGGAAGCAATGGAATGAAGAAAAAGATGAGGAGGTTCGGCGTAGTCTTTCTAAGATTAAGACTAAATACGTATTAAGTAATAGCCCCAGGTAGCACTAGGCTCAGGCTAAGCTTCAACTGCATTTGATCAAACTTGCAATACGTTGAGTGACATTTGGGTGCTTAGTGTTAAATAAAGTGTGTTAGGGTGCACACAAATAAATTAGCTCGTGATTACAAAGACCTATAAATATATTTTAAGGAAGTATACAAAATATCACACAAAAGGAAAAGAAGAAAAAGGTTTTAACGATATATTGTACATTACTTTAATTCACAGATTTAATGGTATGAAACATTCGAATCATAGTTATATAGGTGCAAACAAAAATTTGTAAATGGAGACATTACTACCCCGTAGTATACAATGACAGGCTTTCAACGCCAACGAGGTTTCCACAATTTGTAATTTTGACCTATTGTTACATAGAATGCGTAAGATGTCCAAATGAGAAAGAAAAGAAGGCCTTTTATAGTTCTCTCGTTACATACGCTTTTGAAAATAATTATAAAAAGAAATATGAAATACAAGAAATCGAGCACAGGCCCTAATGTTGTATTACTTTTTCATATGAATAAAGTGCTACTTTGTCAATAAAAGCAATGTGTCAGAATTACCAAATTTTCCTTAAAAATTCCATATAAAATAATACGCTTAAATTATAATAAATGATTGCCGCCATAACTCGAAAAACACGAAACTAGGATATATCGCGTCATAAACGTATGCACACTTGCATATAACAGGGCAGCCAATAAGCAAAGCAGAAAAAACTAGGTCCTTTCATTTATTGGTTAATGAGTTATCTTGCTATCGTGGTTCACAGATTAACGTTATGTTTTAGAGAGTGTAGTTGCCACAGCATTCTCGCGTAAACCGTCGTTGAAAGAAAAAGTATAAAGTGAACTGTCGTAACAGAGGATCAACGTAAATAGTTGAGGTTTTCTGTATTTGGTGCTTCTCAAAGTGACGATTTAATGGTAGCGCTATCCACGTGGTTTTCCAAGGCTGCGGCCTTCAGGGCCGTGATACTAGGCGCCCCTGCTTCTGGCAAGGGCACTATGTCAGCCCGAATTGTCGAACATTTTAAGGTGGCTCACATATCTAGCGGTGACAAGTTACGACTTCATATGAACAGTAACACCGGTACGTTTTACAAACGATAAATCACGTTTGCTGTGTCACAACTCGTCATAAAGGGAAGGAAAAAACGATTAGAACTAATATCGATCACCCCTTATCTCTTCAGACTTGAAACCTCATTGCATATCATTTATTTCCAAAGGCAAACTTGTCAAAAACATTTTTCGGTTTTAGGTATATTGACGATATATAAAAATCTGCTTTAACCTCGAAAGTTGTCTTCGAGATGTTTTATTTCGTGCAAAACAGTTTGAAGAACGCTAGTTTCTTCGATATTCTCTAACCAGGTTAAGATTACCCTTGTTTACTGATCTCATATATACTCTCTACTCTATATCCTTTCAGTGCTAAATTTACACGACTCTGAATGAAAAGCGTACTTATTTATTTATAAGCATTCGCTCGAATATTTGGACTCATGCTCGGGAATTATATTGCAACATTATTTTCTTGCTAGATAGTATCGATTTCTATCGGTTGCTTTATCTTTTCGACTTACACGTATGTATAATGTAATAAGATATCGATATGTGAACTGAAAATTAATTCTGTACTTAAATATAAATTCCCTTGGTCATTTTAATCTAGCCAATATACGCATGAGTGTTATCGAAATTGGCTCGATTAACATGCACAAGTCACTTATGTATCTGCATTAATTTGTCCGTCATTCTTAATAAATTCATGAATGAAAAGTTATGTGAATTTTGCTTCTGCAAAATATTATGATTTATATAGATCGTTTCACACATCTAACCTAAAAAACGGGAATTAAATTCATTAAATTCCATTTAATTTACGACAGATCGCTGGAAAAAAGTTTCTATCACGGAGGCAGTTAATTGTACACGATTAGATCGCCCCTGGCTTCAATTTTGTTATTTTGCTTTTAGCAATCTGTTCGACTAATTATTTAGACAATAAGACAGACTATTTTATTTGTATATCGCACATATGTATTTATGCTTAAAACACTAACTTTTCTTTTGGTATACGAATCTCATAAACATAATCCTTATCGCTCGCTTCAAAGTCCGCAATAACATTAATTAAACGGATTAAATGACGACGTTATACAGTAAACGATTTTTGATAATATAGAATTGGGCAAAGCTGTCTCAAAATACGTGCTCTCCGGTAAATTCGTACCCGACGATGTAATGATTTCGATGATAAACAAAGAAATTGAATTGGTCGGTGATCAGAATTGGTTGCTGGATGGTGAGTAATTCAATAAAAATCAAAATATTTAATACTTTCTTATTTGTACTTAGATTATAAACGTGGCCAAGCTTGCGTACAACTAAATTCAAAATAAATAATTGGCATTGGTACAGGATTCCCAAGAACGTTAACGCAAGCGGAAAAATTGCAGAAAGAGCATCCGGTGAATCTCGTTTTATATCTCAACGTGCCTACTGAAGTGATACTGAACCGCGTAAAAAACAGGTGGGTTCACTTACCCAGTGGAAGAGTTTATAACGTTGGGTTCAACAGTCCTAAAGTGCCGGTAAGTTGGAACGGAAATCTCGACTGACGTTCAAACGTGTTTGTTGGCAGAGTGCCTGACAAAACGTTATAATTAGATCTCTCGTTCGATTTAGTAACCAATAAACCTTATTTTAGACGGTTTTTATATCTGCAAATCCTTTGAATGGCTTTAATTACTCTGGGTGATTAATAATTTTCGTTTGTGTCTTTTGAATAGGGTAAGGATGATGTAACTGGTGAACCATTGAGTAAAAGGGACGATGATAAGATAGAAATTGTACAGGAGAGATTGGAAAGGTATTCAAAGGCTACTGAACCAATTGTAACATTCTACACTAGCTTGGGAATACTAAATAGCTTTCAGGGTAACACCACCAATGAGTTGTGGCCACATGTGAAGGAGACTATCACAAAGTTTATGTCATAATTATAGATTGTTAGAGTATATCAATGTTTTCTAATGAAGTTAAGGAATTAGTTTGGGATAAAAAATAATTAATAGTAAATTACATGCTTACATTAGAAGAAAATAGAGTAAGGAGTTAGTATTACATGTGCATGCGCACAAATATTGATGAATTTAGTGAATGTATACAAAAGATGGAAAAGATTTATAGTATATATTTTTTCGGCGACTTTTATATATATGTATATGTAACAGTTGAAAGATAATTTGAATGCTTCGGATCGAGATATAGTACAAAGTATATTTCAATTCCTATCTACAATTTTTACTTGTTTTGTACATGATTTATTGGGATTGATAATAAATTCTCACTTTTGTATTTACATACGCTCCTTATATTGATCCGTTCGATTTGATAAAATAATTTCACGATTGTAAAAACATAAACTTTCGAACAATAATCTTTCTATGAGAATTAAGCAATTGTAAATACACTGATTTACGTGTAAGTTCTATTTGTCATATTTTATAGGTATCATTTACGAAACATTGTTGTATACTGTAATATGAAGGGATCAACGAAGTTAAAGACCGAATTTCAAGTCGGCAAGAGATATTTGTTGAGGCTTATATGATGCAAGTGTATTAATATATGACATATATTCTGTTTACATTGTTTTTAGATGAAGTTGAAAGATGTATTCGCGATTATAAAACAGGAAATAAACGTTGGAATACAATGCGTGTAGTTTTTTCCAATATTTATTTTTAACTGTACCGATATAAGAATTTTAACAATTTTTTTAATTGTGTACAGACCTTAAACAATATGAGTATAATATACATTATATATCATGCTCACATTTTCTTTTTTTCTCGTTCGAAAATTAAATCACAAGTAATAACGGTATCTTAATATTATACGTTTGTTAATCGCATGTTTCTTTCTTTCATAACATAAAACGTTATGCTGAACGCAATTTATATCGACGCGAAAACGCCCGAGAACTTAGTATAAGTTCGGTATAGTCACCAAAGCCGAAAATTAGTATATTAAATAAATAAATAATTTAGTATTGCATTATGTGGGGGAAACAGTAATGTTTAAATTAAACGGAGGCTTAAATGTTACGACAGGTAGATATGGTTGAATATATAGAATACGCGCCGGTTCTCGCGCACGCGCATCATTGACTCAAGGACAAAATGAAATATGCTCGTGTTGTATTCTGCGAGGGGAATCTAATATTGCTGCGTTACAAAATAAGTTATGTCAGGAACATTTCCGTAAGGAATTAAGAAATTTTTATAAAAATTACTCTTCATAGCAAAAATCGTCAACTTACGATCTACGCAAGTCTCGATGCGACCCCATCCATGAGAAGGAATAAATATCTCCTTGGTTTTTTGCGGTAATTCTAAGTCGTATTAAATGCTAAATTAATTTCTAATAATTAAATTTAAACGCAATAACTTCTTTTTCGAGATCAATAAACAAGGTAAAAAAAATTGTGCAACAATATACTGGAATAAAAAAAAAGCCGCGTTCAATTATGATCACAGAATATAATAACGATAATGCTTGTTCGAATCTATTAAACGCATTATCGTCAACGGAAAATATTTCATATATCTATTAATTCACATCAGTCGTTCAACGAGCATGTTGAGATCTCTAGATCATGTTGCGGCATAAATTCTTCTCCAGAAAATAATTATTCAAACTGTCTAAGAATGCAACGTTGCACTGCTAAGGTCATCAATTGGTTTCTTTTTTCTTGTACTTTTATGGACGAATGAACGGAGAATTATAATTAATGACGAACATTGTCACCACTCTCCAAAAACTATCCATGAATGCTTTTAAGTACATGATACTTTTTCTCCTTAATGTTTGTGATAAATATCTCACTGTAACAGTTCAAATTCTTCGCACTCGTCTAGATCGTCGTCATACGTTTCATTACTTGTAAAAGAGGTAGCAGGAGGAATTATGTTTTCTGCAATTTCAATTTTTTGACGGAGATCTCTTCCGCTCCCTTCGCAAAATAAAAACATTGGATAGTCGACTTTATCATCTTCTGGCACCAAATACTGCAATATCAAAAATAGATCATTGAATTGCCAAATTATCTACGGACTATAATTTAAACGTGACCTGTATGAGAATTGTTATACATACAGAGGGAGCAACCTCCATAAAGCTTGTAAATTGCATTTTGTTGTGAAAATAAAATCCCACACAACAGCTGGGATCCATTTTCGAGATTAACATTTTTCTTGGTGAAGTACAATGAAAACTCGTCAATGGAAAATTATCTTTTAATACATCAACAGTTTCTTGACAATAATGTGGGTCTAAATTAATTAATTTATCTTCCTGGAAACCAATAAAATAAAGCGAGTGCCGTGGCCGACCGCCAATAACTCCGATACAGGTATCTAATGTAAGTAAGTGTGTCAAGCAAGATGCATAAACTGGGTTTAATTTGTCAGCACCAAGCCTTAAAGGTACAAAAAGTATGAGAGATTTCCACTTGCCATTTGACATTTGACATACATTCTCTATATCCTGTAGATAAACTGTAAAAAAAATGATATAATTTAAAGTTAGAAGTTTAAGTCCTCTTGAATAGCTTTATTTTATCAAAATACAAGTAACACTGCTATCATATCACCTGTACAATCTTGAGCAACATAAACAGCCAAGTTACTGAATACTGGATCACGTTCTGCTGCCCGTTCTACTGCTTGGTTCAACAGATGAGCAACAGAGGAGGGTCCATACCAATCTCCTGCACGTTTTCCCCATAGAGCTCCCAAAGAAACAAGGGTATGTATAGAAAATGGAGATGTACGTTCTGGTAGATCTCCAAATGATTTAATAATTAATCTATGATTATATTCATCCAGTTTTTGTTGTTCTGTCTTCATTGGTTGGTCTGGATGCCACCGCCATTCTGTAGGAAAAGCATGTTATTGTACTGCAAAAATACATTGTACCTATATTATTAAAGCACTATTGGGTTACTAGTAGTATAATAACTGTACATATAAAGTATATTTATTTACAATTATTATATTGCAATGTATAACTAAAATAAATACAGAAAATAAGTGCCTCTTCCAAGAAAGTGACAGACTAATGCCTGTGCCAACATCATTTGGCCACTACGTAGCATACATCCCCAGCCACAATCAGTAGTAAATGTAGAACCATTCAATATAGGAAATTCTCTTCTATATGTTAACCAGAGACGTGATGCAAAATCCTTCTTAAATTCCTCTATACCATCCTCAAAGCTAATAGCATCCATTGCTAGAGATATCTCACTTCCAGTGTCTAATGCTTTCTCTGCCTCAGAAGTTTTCTCTAAAAACTCTTCTGGTTTCTTACGATAAATTTTGCCAAGTAAATATACTGGAGATTCTTTTGAGAAATTTGGTTTCACCACCTTGATGGTCCAGCCTTTGAATAAATCAAATTTCATTCAAACCTCTTCTACAGTAAAGATACATGAAGTGACTATGAATCTATATTACACTAACCATATTTTACATTATTCCACATAGACAATAGCTTTGTTTTGACTTTACTATCAACTTCCGTAGTAGCATTAGAATCATCCATGGGTATTCCATTGCTGCTGGCAGACAATTGAATGTTTGAAACACGATCCGTAGCAATCATCCCAGAGAACAGCCCAATGGTACTGTTACTAAAACCCCCTAAGAATAAAGTCATCTTTGTTACGTTAATTCGTCGAGTGTTTTTAAAGATTTTTAACCCCTAGGATCAAGCATACAAGAAAGGTCGGAAAGCGTATGGAAAAGATCAAATACGGTCTTTAACTGACTGTACAAACTTGGACGATAAAGGAAGTATGACTAATGGAAACGGAACACCGTTTTTCGCGACCATAAGTGGCAGAGAAAAGGTACGACTATTTGGCGATCTTTGCGCACGTCTGTCTCGCGTAGAATTCGACACTTACCTAACCTCTCCCTGGAGGGCTGCACCTGTCCATTCATGCCCAACAAGTAAATTTTAGAAAGCATGCACTCCAAGCGTTTAAGTACTGCACAAGGAAAAGAGTAATCACATTTTCGTAACCGCGTACGATTACGGTTACGCTGACATCGCAGTTGACCGCGATTTCATTGTGTCACGTTGAAACGACGGATTACCACTATTATCACAGAACAATCTAACACAATTATGCATCGGCCGATGCACGCGACAAACTCAGTACAAGGCCCATTACCAGCCTATCGTCAAATTTAACAAATTAAAATTTACATTTCCTCCAAAGTGAAATACCAGCTCCGTAAAACACTCTATGAAACAATTAGATTTCTTGAGGATGAGAATCGAGCTCGAAAATAAACGAAACAAGTAACACGACTGGGAGCAAACGAGCAAAAATAGTTTTAAAGACGCTCTGGCCGTGGCACTGTAAAGGACGCGTGTTTACAAAGAGCGTTGTGAAATTTAAAGCACCCGTTGAAAACGCAGCCAACGCCGTCTAGCGGTGAGATAGGATATGCCATATCCGTGCACTTGAGTGCATTAGATTGGTATGCAGGGATTCCGCTGACCATATCTGATATCGAAATGGCCGCATCTTATCAAAGAATACACAATACTTGAGAGGCCTTTAATCGTTTGAGTAAATAGTAGAAAAAATGGTCGATAATCATTCTCTTTGTATCGATATACGATTAGCACATTGTATTTTTACGAGTTAAATACGAGATAAAAAAAAAGTAGACATTGCAAACAGTTATTTTTCTAAGATACGTGCGGTATTTATTAATACAGCATGTACAGTTCTTTATTGCCGCTAATAATAACGCATCGTTTTTTATTTAATCGTTCCATATTCCGGTACCGCGAACGGATATAATTAGCTGATTCTTAGAGTGGATCCCATTTCATTAATTAACGCTCCTTCTGTTTCGAGAGGCTAACAAACGTTGCGCCGCTTTTACCCGGAATTAAAAAATCTCCCGGCAACGGTGCAGACCGTTTATTCAATAAAAACTGAACCCAGAGAGCCAGGGCTGCTCTGTTTAACGTATTCGAATTATTAATTAAGAGTTCGCCTCGTTTGAAATTTCCTTCCTGCCATTATCGTTCTGAGTCCACTCCATGAACCGCCCTCAAAAAAATGAAGAAAAAAATCAGTAACAAAAAAATTCAACGTCGTTATTACAACGAAGAAACCCTTGATTCCCTCCTACAGTCTCTCTCTTATTTAGATTTTTGAATCCTAATTGATTACCGGCCGAAGTGGGAAAACGATAATGGGACAATGGGAAAAAATGTCCGAGCCACGACAGCCACCAAGGGAGCAGGATTAATGGAGAAATAACGGAGCGCAACCAGGTACATTATCCCCTTTCATCGCGGTGTAATAATGCACTTTTGTCAGGATTGACCAACGGAGGGGAACGGAGAGGAACTGAGAGAGAAGAGAGTATCGCAGTGGTGGGGAGAAGGACAGCACGACAGAGGGAATGGAGGGCTTGAAGGAAGAGACAGAGATCACTACGATGTGCAGGACAGAAACAGAAACAGGGAGAACTGTCATGCGCGTCTTGTCACGGAATAACCAATGAGATACGCGTATCTCGGCTTTACCTCATTGATTACCACGTTCGCGCTCGTTCTAAATTTCACATTGTGACCGTTGTCGCGTAGCTGTTGCAAAATATGAATCCTGCTTGCCTCGTGCCCGGCATCACGGCTCGTACCAGGGGCAAGACTGATGGAAGGAAATGGAGCGGCGTGCCTGTCAGGACAATAATCCCTCTCCCCCTGGCTGTGTTGTACTAACAATAGCCGCCGGCAGGTCTATTGAAAGCTTCAGGGCAAATCTCTGACTAGGTGGAGGGGATTGGCTTTAATGTGAGGTAGTTGCAGGAAGGGCGAGGAGGGATTGCGTTTCCCTAAAGCTGGCCCGTCGTATCTAAGTATACGTATGTATACATATATATCTACATGTATATATATGCATATAGATATACGTATATCCAGGTATGTGATGCTGCTAATAAAAGCCGATGCAATACTAGAAAATCAACAAAGCAGCACACATAGCCAGTGATAATTATGTGTACAATAAAAATAACTCGTTATTGTTTTGACGAGTTGATGGGAGGGGGTGGAGAGTGACAAGGGTTCGAGGGATGGTGAGACGGAAATTAGGTCATGCAAGAATATCGACGGACCGACGTAATCACGGTGTGCACAGCTCGAATAAGGACATTAACGAGCCACGCTCCTCTCCCTTTAAGATCCTTTTTATTCGGTGGTGTGGGGTGTCGCTAGGGAGTAAGTCACGTTTACCGGCGATCGATCTGCCATCTCACGGTGCGCTGATCGAACTCGCGGATCGATGGAAGGGAGGTTAGTTCCGAATCGATGCCGCATGTGGTTATGTTTGGAAATCGTGGAATTTCAACAGAATTGGTTATGGATCATGACATGCACTGATAATTCCTCCAGTGAAATGTATTTTTGTTCGATGTTCAGTGAGCGTGGCTAGTTTTGCGCGATATTAGCCAGCAAAGTCGATAAATCGAGCCGACTTCCGATTGCGGAAACGCGGATGCCGGCACGCGAATTAAAAGTCTATCTGGATCGATGGGTCTCGATTGAACTGCTAATTACTCGAGGGATTTCGACTGGCCGAATTATTTCAACGAATTGTTGGAATTTCGTGTTAGTGAATATGTAGGGAATGATTACTACGTTGTTGGTTTAAAGACGAGTCGAAAATATAGTTCCATAAATATTATTAGGACATCCACTGGTGTTGGTGCAAGAAGAGATGTTTGATCTAGATTATACATATTTCGTCACTTTTATTACCTCGTATCTCAGAAAATATGACGCAAGATTTTAAACTGGATAATAATTCTTCAAGGCCTTGGTAATTTCGTAATGATTTTTCAAGCTGTAACGTTCTAGAATAATAATCTAACCTAACCTATTACATCACCGCTTGTCATTCTGTCAACTACGTTTGTTAAGCCTGCATCTTGTGCGTGTATACGATAAAATAAATCACTTTTATCCAAAAGTATTTAATCATAATTATTCCTAAATACTGCAACTGATTCGACTAATACGGGGTTCCATTATTCTTGCAAATACAGTGGCAAGATTTGTGCCGACGGAACAACGGGAGTGGCAGCCGGAAGGAAAATAAATTGATCGCGAAGTACACGGTCCACGCAAAATCGCGCGAAAAGTGAGGGTGGGGGGATCTGTATGAATAAGTGCTGAGAGTTAAAACAAACTCGCGAAACTCGTCCAGCCAGGGAGCGATTGATTAATACCTGGCACAGCTGTTCATGGGAGCGGGCCAGTGAAAAACCGCTCGGCGCGTAAGGGGTCGTGAAAGATTGGCAAAGTTTGCGGAAACTTCGACTGCTCAAATTCGTTCCGGTAGAATAAGAATCCAACACCAAGACGGGGACTACAGATTCCATGTACACTGATGAATTTCATTCGAATATTACCGCTGCTGTCTTACTCGAAGACGTGTATAACCTGATTTCGATGATTCTGAGAATTTCACGCTATACCGGAAGTGGCTTCCTGGAAATTGATAGAACACCGATAACGTGCTGTTTCATCTTTCCCGAGAATACTGACATTACATTTTTCTTAGAGGTTACTGATAATTTACTTGTGAATTTTTGAAAACATGGATTTTCCTTTGTAATTATTTTACTCTGGTGTGAAATTGCTTTTTTAAAATAGTAAAAATATTTATAAAATTTTATTCAATAGTTTATTAGGACAAAAAAATTCATAAATGTGCTTGATTTTTGACTGAAGCGACAGAATTAGCTTCTTGAGGAGACTATTTCAGTCTATGGCGGATGCTGTAGGAATGGGACTGGAATATCCGATCTCCGGTGAGGGATTTCTCATTTTAATTAATGCCGCGCCTCGTCGGGACGGGACTTTTTGACGGGCGTCGCGCGTTTAAGGATATTATTTCCCTTACAGCGCAGTTTATCCCGGGACAGAGTAAATCCTGCAGGCGACGCCTCGCGCCCATGTGACGTGTGTAACGCTGTTTAACCTATCGCGCGTGCAAACGCGCCGTAAGGCATCACCGTCGAGGACAGAATGGTCGTAGATAGACATTTTTGTGCTCGAGGCTTCTTCAACGAAAAAAGACGGTGCAAACAACATTGAGCGCCTTTTTTTCATACTCTGACGTGTTTGTTGCCTCAACCTTTGATTTGCATGATAATTTAACCCTTCTGTTACTAAGAGTGACTACAGTCGAGCGCCATCTTTTTTATACTCTGTGACGTGTTTACTGCCTCAACCTTGGTGGATCGTAATCGATCAAGCAGTGTACCTTATTTTTTTCAAAGTGACTGTGATAATAATTTTTGTACACTGACAAAGAAAAGAAAAATAAACTTGTCAATTCACACGCTACCTTATTTACGTATCTTTTATGTGTACTAAAACTGTAGTCCTGGTTTATATGGTAAGAATTGCACGTGTAAATTGAAATTAGCTACTGCAGAATAATGATCGATCGATCTAACCAAACTGTTGATTGATGTTCCAAACATTCTTGTTTATAGTTCTCTGTCTGAATTTAACTACTGTTCCTGAAATACCGGAGACCGTCTATTCGATCTTCTGTAACTTTTGTTAAATAAAGATTGAATACATTCCCTCGAGGGGAAATTAAAGTGTTACACAATGTTTTCCCATGACCAAATATTCGAACTTTTCAAGTTTGAAAATTCTTTCAGAAAGTTTCGCAACTTTTCAAAGTTAACTACCACAGAGAATAATGTAGACAAGATTGATCTAACCAAGTTATCGATCAATTCTTTCAAAGTCTACAGCTTCGAAACGTTCCTGTTTACAGTTCTCAATAGTCTAAATCTAACTAATGCTCCTCGAGCGAAGAGTGGCTTGTTCGATCCCTGGACGACTTCGATCCTCTTGACTTTTGGTCGAAAATGCTACCTGAAGCATGCCATCGCCTCTCTCTCTCTGGTGTCATCGATCGTCTACGTGAGAAGATTTACACGCGTTCATGTTTGTTAGACCGTCGTATACGAGGGAGGAGAATTCCTGAAAATCCACGGATTTCTTTTACGACAGACACGCTCAAAACACGTGGTGAATGTTCTTGACGTAAAAA